TTGGCCTTAAGCACAGCCCACCATCCGCAGCCCTCTCTTGCCTCACTCTGGGTTTCCTCAGCAGCAACGCATCCTCCAGCGCACATCCCCACATCCTCTTTTCCCAGTAAGAACTGTCACTGGACTGTGCCACACCTCCTGCCCCCTCCTGAGGCTGCCCACAATGTTCTGAGATGGTTGTTTTAGGCTCAGCTCTGGTGTATTGGTTTGTGGCCAGTTTAAACTGGTTCGCAGCATTTATAAGGTGTTGGATGAGCCGTATTCTGTGAGTGCCAGCAGCAAAAGAGGGGAGCCCACACCTGTGGCTGCCAGTGCTGGTGGCCATAAGAGCCCATATGCCCGGGACGGCTGGCATGGCTCTTGGGGCGGCAAACACCCGCTCACAACCCAGACCACAAGGGAGCAATCCTGATGCTGCCTACCAGGGGTTTGGCTGCAGCATCTTCCCCTCCAGTATGGCCACAGGGCCTGAGAAAGCTGGTGTCACCCTGCAGCAGGAGGAGTGGAGGGATGCCACCTCTCCACTGCTCTTCATTCAGCTCAACCAGCTCCTCAGCACCCCGGCGGGACCGGAGTGGAGAGAGACAGCCAGGTAGGCATGCCTGCGATGGCCAAGCTCCCTGGCCGTGCTTTGGGACCCCAGCCTTCAAATGCTCAGCTCTGGTGGAGCCTACGGCATCTCCTGCTTGTTCCTCAGCCCTAAAAGGTGTGGCTGAAGGCTGCCCTCTGTCCCCACCACTTCTGCCTGGCTTAGGGTACCTTGTTTCAGGGCAGAGGGCAGGGCGTTGGACAGGTCACAGGCAGTGACCCTGCATAGGCACAGCACCCTCACTTCTGCTCCCACCTTTGCTGCATTTCCAAGGCTCCAGTGGCTGTGCCGAGGCTGTGCTGGTGCTTTGATGCTCCCCAGCTCCAGCTGCCCAGCACATCTTAGGGGGTGAATGGGGTGGGTAGGGCAGGGCAGGCTTGGCTGGGGTTGTTGGGGTTCAGTGGAGAGGAGCTGGGGCCAGCTGGGTGCTGATGTGGGGCAGGAGCCTGTCTGGGCTGTTTATGCACCCCACACCACCCTCTGCAGCTCAGCAGGGTCACAGGCTGTGGGGATCTGGGGGGTATATGCTCCAGGGGTAGGAGGTTTGGGGATGGGCGAGGCCACCAGGCTATGGCTGTGGCGCCTCTCCCCAGCACCCCGCCAAAATGGCATGGCTCCCTGTTGGCAGGAGCCACTCCACAGCGGTGTGCCCACCCATGGGGACAAAGGGAAGCTCTGTCTGTGCCTAATGTTAAAATATTTGGCACAGCCTGAGTGTGGCCAACAGCCCAAGACACTTTGGTTTGACTCCAGCGAGCCCTGCTGAATGACAGGGCTGGCCCCAGGGTTGGGAACGGGGATTTGGGAGCAGCCCCATGAAGAAGGACTGGGGGTACTGGTAGGTGACAGATGGGACATGAGCTGGCACTTATAAGATGGGGAGAGACTTTTTACCGGGACCTGGAGTGACAGACAAGGGGCAAGAGTTTTAAACTGCAAGAGGGCTGGGTTAGATTGGAAGAGATGTTTCATGACAAGGATGGTGAGGCACTGGGACATATTGCCCAGAGGAGTTCTGGATGCCCTGTCCTTGGAGGGTTCAAGGCCAAGTTGGATGGGGCTTTGAGCAACCTGACCTAATGATGTCCCTGCCCATGGTGGGCAGCTGGAGTGGATGATCTGTGAAGGTCCCTTCCAACTCCAATCCTTCTGAGATCCCGTGACTGGTGAAATCCCCCTGGTCAGGAGATCAGAGCCAGGCGTGGGTCAGCAGCAATGAGGCTGCCCGCCTGTCCGTGCTCTTTGAGCCCACTGCAGCCCCCTCTGAACCCCCAAAACCCTTCCAGCCTGTGCTAGCCCTATGCCAAGCTCAGAGATGGACCCAAGCTCAAGCACCCACTGCTTGGCATGAGGCATAGGCCCACCCTGCTGCTGACCCTGTACATCTCCCTGGGCAGATGGATCAAGTTCGAGGAGAAGATGGAGGATGGTGGGGAGCGCTGGAGTGCACCCCATGTCCCAGCTCTCCCCCTGAACAGCCTCTTCCAGCTGAGGATGTGCCTGCAGAAGGGAACAACACTCTTGGATCTGGATGCCTCCAGCTTCAAGGAAATAATCGGTAGGTGGGAATTGCAAAGGTCATCTCCTGGGACAGGCTGCTCACCAGAGAGAGATCAGGCCATTGGAAGGTCCCTGTATGAGAGCACTGATGCATGCATGCCAGGTACCTGGCGTGGCTGTCTGCTTCTCTAGCCAAGTGGGCTCTTCCCTGGGCAGCTCCACACTGGGCAGCAAACTGAGGTGACTCAGGGCTGTCCCCATCCCTATTGCAGACAAGGTGCTTTCTGTGCAGTCTGAGGAAGCAGAGCTGCAGCCCGAGACGCGGGAGCGCCTGGCAGCCCTCTTGCTCTCCCAGCCACGGCACCATCCCACCAAATCCCTGCTGCAGCTCCTCGCCGAGCTCAGCCTCTCACCCTGCCGAGGTAGGCACCATATCTGGCCATGAGTGGGCCATGTGCCTCCAGGCATCTCTCTGCCGCCACCAGCGCAGAGCAATACCCATGGCTGCTGGTGGGCTGCGCATGTATTTTGTTTCTTGCTCCCATCCTTTGCAGGGAAGGACAAAAGCTGCTCTGAGCCCAGAGCTCAAGTCTCCAAGACACCTCTTAAGGAGCAGGTAATGCAGGATGTTGCTGGGCTGAGAGCAAGAGCCACATCCCCTGTGCCCAGCTGCTGCACCCCTTCCCTTCCAGCTGAGAAACCGATTTCAGAAGAAGGTCCCACCTGGGGCCGAAGCAGCCCACATTGCCACTGGTGAAGTTGAATTCCTGGAGAAGCCCTTTGTCGCCTTCATCCGCCTCAAGCAAGGAGTGGTCCTCGGCTCGCTGGCCGAAGTCGCTCTCCCCAGCAGGTAAACGGAGCACGGCCAATGGCCCCGCGTACACTTTCACCCCTGTCTCCCCACTCCCTCTCGGCACAGGGCTTTCAGTGAAGGCAAAGGGCACGGCACCCTATGCCATATACAGTCCCAGAACCTCGGCTCACTGCTTCCCCTCCTGCTTTCCTCAGCTCCTTAGGAGCATCCTGGCATAGGCTGAGAGAGGAGCATCTGTTGGCCAGCCTGGGGCGGGACATACCCTGGGTCGTCCCTAGCTGGGCCCTTCACTCTCCTCTTTAGGAGGGTCTGGATGCTCTCCACTTACTGCCTGGGAGCACGGGGGCTCACAGCTGGGAAGAGTGGGAAGAGACACGGGTTTGCAGGAGCCTCTCGCCCTCCCGCTGCCTGTGATGCTCTCCTGACCGGTGGAGTGGCTCCTGTAGCACTGTTGGCACAGTTGGGGGAAAGGAGCAGGGCAGGAGGTGTTTCTCCATGGCTGAGAAAAGCATCATCTGAAGCCATGAGGGGAAATGGTCAGTGCGTCCCTGAAGCTGGGGAATTTCTTTAAGAGCATGTGGAGGAGGCAGGCGGGAGCAGGAGGGATATTGCCACCTCCTGGTCACTCTGCCCAGAGCACCCGTCCTCCAGGAGCTGGGTGGAGCAGGACATCCATCCACCTCCTGCTCCACCCTTGGTGGGAGATGAGTGGCAGGTCCCTGGGGAGTCCCTGCGGGTGTCGAGGGGCTCATGATAGCCCCTTGCCCTGTATTTCCCGCCTCCAAACAGGAGGTGAAGGAGACCCATCCCCATCCCTTTTCCCTTGTGCCATTCTCTTTGCCAGCTGTCCTGAGGCTGTCCTGCGGGCACAGCCACCGTCTCGGGGCTATCTTCCACCCAGGTCTAACTCTAGGATCTTAAGGTTTCCCCATTGCCTTGATAAAGATGTCAGTGTGAAAGTAATCCCAGGTGGCTACTGTCACCTCCTGACCCCTTGGAGCAGACTCTGGGAGGCCTCTGGCACTGATGCCACACATCAGCACTGCAGCACATTCTGTCAAACTGCCTCCAGCCCTGCTCAGGCTGTCAGAGGAGCTTCTCTACCTCCTCTCTGGAGGTTTGCTTGGGGTACGGTCACTAAAATGGCTCTGCAGCCTCCGGGTACCAGGACTGTAATTGTTTTTGCCAGTTTTGGAAAGGAGTGGAGGGCTTGATAAACATTTGCATGGGCTGTCCCTCTGGAGACCTTATTATTTTGCAGCAGTCTCTGAGGTGGGAGATTTTAGCCATATTTCTTCAGGGACTCTGAGCCAATCTCCTCCTCTGCTCCTGTAGTCGATCAAACCTGCTGCCCATGCAGCTGGCAAGCTCTCTTTCCAGAGGGTCACATTTCTGGATCCTGCCTGTGAGCAACATTCCCATGAGCAGGACCCCAAACACATCCCCATCCCAGAACTCGACCCCACAGACATCCCCATCCCAGAGTTTGACCCCACAGACACCCTCAGTAGAGGATGTCTTTTTCCCTGCCTCAAAGACTTCCCTGTGTGCCCCCAGCCCAGTTTTTTGCAGATCCAGCCAGGGTCCTGGTGTCCATGGTCTCCTGTGGCGTTTCCATGTGGTGGGCAGCAGACACGTCTTAGTCTTCTGCCCCTGCCCCCCTGCTTAGGGTGGCAGCAGCCCCCCATGCCTGCCCAGCTGCCATAGTCTCCCCCAGGAGAAGCATCTCCCGGTGACGAGAGGACTGCTCAGATGTGCTGTCTCGCCCACAGGTTCCTCTTCATTCTGCTGGGCCCCCGAGCCAAAGAGAAAGCCTACCACGAGGTTGGCAGCGCCATGGCCACGCTGCTGACAGATGAGGTGAGCCTGGCACAGCACCCATGGGTAGGCCTGCCCAGCTGCCATAGTCTCCCCCAGGAGAAGCATCTCCCGGTGACGAGAGGACTGCTCAGATGTGCTGTCTCGCCCACAGGTTCCTCTTCATTCTGCTGGGCCCCCGAGCCAAAGAGAAAGCCTACCACGAGGTTGGCAGCGCCATGGCCACGCTGCTGACAGATGAGGTGAGCCTGGCACAGCACCCATGGGTAGCATGGGTCTGGAATGAGGCCTGGGCTGAGGACACCAGGGCTCCTCTCCTCTGCAGGCTGCAGCAGGGGATAAGAAAACAGAGGCTTGGGGTGGGTCTGTAGGATGTGGGTGCACCTCTTGCACTGAAGTGGATGAGTGCCTTTCTCAGTGGTGGCTGCAGGCTGGGAGGAAGGCTCCAAGTAGCTGAACAGAGGGATGTGGTGGCTAAACCACAGCATCTCCCCGCAGCTCTTCCAAAGGGTTGCCCGCCAGGCTGAACACCAAGAGGACCTCATTGGAGGGAT